ACTATTCAAATTAAAAAAAGACCACTTTCAAAATATTCCTGCTCATTGACAATGTACCTGATCACCCAAGAGCTCTGATGAAGGTGTACAATGTCCTGCTAACACAATGTCCGTTCTGTAGTTCATGGATCAAGGGGTAATTTTCAAGTCTGATTATTTAAGAAATACATTTCGCTGGGCGCAGAGGCTCATATCTGTAATCCCAGCACTTTGGGAGGCCGAGGCGGGTGGATCACGAGGTCAGGGGTTCGAGTCTAGCCTGACCAACATGGTGAAACCCCGTCTCTACTTAAAAATACAAAAATTAGCCAGGTGTGGTGGTGCGCACCTGTAATCCCAGCTACCTGGGAGGCTGAGGCAGGAGAACTGCTTGAACCCAGGAGGCAGAGGTTGCAGTGAGCAGAGAGTGTGCCATTGCATTCCAGCCTGGACAACAGAGTGAGACTCTGTCTCAAAAAAAAAAAAAAGAAATACATTTCATAAGGCTATAGCTGCCACAGGTAATAATTCCTTTGATGAATCTGGTCAAAGTAAACTGAAAACCTTCCACAAAGGATTCACCATTCTAGATAACAGTAAGAACATTCAGGCCAGATGTGGTGGCTCACACCTGTAATCCCAGCACTTTGTGAGGCTGAGGCAGGTGGACCATCTGAGGTCAGGAGTTCAAGACTAGCCTGGCCAACATAATGAAACCCCATCTCTACTAAAAATACAAAAAAAAAATTAGGCATGGTGGCGGCACTTGTAATCCCAGCTACTCAGAAAGCTGAGGCAGGAGAAGCGTTTGAACCTGGGAGGCGGAGGTTGCAGTGAGCCAAGATCATGCCATTGCACTCCAGTCTGGACAAGAGCAAAATTCCATCTCAAAAAAAAAATTAATAAAAAGAACATTCATGACTCATGGGTGAAGTCAAAATATCAACATTAACGGGAGTTTGGAAGAAGCTGATTACAACCCTCATGGATGACTTTGAGGGGTTCAAGGCTTCAGTGGAGGAAGTAATTGCAATTTGGCAAAAACAGCAAGAGAACTAGAGTGACTGAATGGCTACAATCTCATGATAAAGCTTGAACAAATGAGGAGTTCTTATGGATAAGCAAGGAAAGTGGTTTCTTGAGATGAAATCACCCCTGGTACAGATGCCATGAACACTGTTAAAATTACAACAAAGGCCGGGCACTGTGGCTCACGCCTGTAATCCCAGCACTTTGGGAGGCCGAGGCAGGCGGATCACGAGGTCAGGAGTTTGAAGCCAGCCTGACCAACACGGTGAAACCCCATCTCTACTAAAAATTAAAAAATTAGCAAGGTATGGTGGCACACGCCTATAATCCCAGCTACTTGGGAGGCTGAGGCAGGAGAACTGATTGAACCCGGGAGGTGGAGGTTGTAGTGAGCTGAGATCGTGCCACTGCACTCCAGCCTGGCAACAGAGCAAGACTCTGTCTCAAAAAATAAAACAAAATGACAACAAAGGATTTATAAGATTATAGTAGATATCAAGTCGTTTGTAAAGCAGCTGCAGGGTTTGAGAGGACTGACATCCATTTTGAAAGAAGTCCTACTGTGGGTAAATTGCTACCATTTTCTCTCTGTAGCACTGCATGCTACAGAGAAAACCTTTATGAAAGGAAGAGTTCCACAGAGAAGCAAACCTCATTGTCTTACTTTAAGAAATTGCCATCTATGGCCGTACCACCCTGAACGTCCCCGATTTTGTTCAAACTCGGAAGCTAAGCAGGGTCGGGCCTGGTTAGTACTTGGATGGGAGACCGCATAGCAATGCCGGGTGCCGTAGGCTTTTGGCTCTTCCACTTCCTGCCTTTTATTTATTTATTTATTTTAAATAAATAAATAAATAAATAAAAGAAATTGCCACAGCAACCCTAACCTTTAGCAACCACCCTGACCAGACTACTTAATAACCATCAACATCTAAGCATGATCTTCCACCAGATCACTGGCGTTTTTCAGCAATATTTTAAAATTAAGGTGTAAGAAAAATAAATAAATAAATAAATAAAATTAAGTTGTGTGTATGTGTATATATATAGTTTTGTTTCAGCTTTTTTTGAGACGGAGTCTCACTCTGTTGCCCAGGCTGGAATGCAGTGGTGTCATCTTGGCTCACCACAACCTCCAGCTCCTAAGTTCAAGCGATTCTCCTGCCTCAGCCTCCAGAGTAGCTGGGACTCCAGGTGCATACCACCACACTCGGCTAATTTTTGCATTTTTAGTAGAGACGAGATTTCACTGTTGGCCAGGCTGGTCTCAAACTCCTGAACTCGTGATCCGCCTGCCTTGGCCAGGCTTTGTTGTTCCATTCATAGAGCACAGGCAGAGTAAGTTCAGCTTTCCAAAGTGCTGGGATTATACCTGTGAGCCACTGTGCCTGGCCTTATGTGTGTGTGTGTGTGTGTGTGTGTGTTTAAAGACAAAATGCTATTGCATACTTAATAGGCTACACTATTGTGTAAACATAACTTTTATATACACTGGGAAACCACAAAATTTGCGTGACTTATTTTATTGCAACATTCCCCCAATTGCAGTGGTCTGCAACTGAAGCCACAATATGTTAGGTGTGCCTGTACAGGTGTGTAAAGGAGTTCAACATGATTACCACTCAAGCTAATAAAACAAAATAGGACCATGCTCCCTACAACTTGTTCTATGTGTAATGTTTCATTCTTTGGGGTTACTCATTGCTACAGTGACAAGGCAAGAAAGAAAAAGGAGTCATTAGGCTCAATAAATCCAAAAAGTAGCACAAGTGTTTCTAATCAGAGATTTTCATGTCCTTGGGGGAGAAAAATGGCCTTGTCAGCCTCCACTTTGAGGACAGTGGGAAGGAATGTGAGACTCTCTGGCTAGGTTGCCACGTGTAGCTAAAACTCAGAATTAAGTCATCAGCAGCAGCTTTATTATTTTCACCATTACTGTGACTATTACACAGACTGTATTATTATTACTGGCTGAGCGCGGTGGCTCACGCCTGTTAATCCCAGCACTTTGGGAGGCCAAGGCGGGCGGATTACAAGGTCAGGAATTCAAGACCATCCTGGCCAATATGGTGAAACCCTGTCTCTATTAAAAATACAAAAATTAGCCAGGCGTGGTAACAGGCTGTAGTCCCAGCCACTGGGGAGGCTGAGGCAGGAGAATTGCTTGAACCTGGGAGGCAGAGGTTACAGTAAGCTGAGATCATGCCATTGCACTCCAGCCTGGGCGACAGAGCAAGCTTCAGTCTCAAAAAAAAAAAAAAAAAAAAAGAAAAAAAGAATTTGCATGAATAACACCCACAGATGACCCCGAATCTTGATTCATTCCTTCTCTAACCATTTCACAAGCACCTATAATATGCTGGGACCAAGGATATAGCACCAAAGAGGCAGCTGTCTGCCCTCATGTAGCTTATATTCCAGGTGGATGAGACAGACAAGAAATGAGCAAACAAGTAGTTTCAGGTTATAATCAGTGTTACCTAAAACAGCACGACAGAGGGGGTGTTTTTTGCCCTCTATGCTGGCCTCAGACTCTAACCATTAGGATGAGTCTCAACAACATGCAAGTTAAAACGTAATGACCTGGCATGTAATTCCAGTGCTTTGGGGGTGGGAGTGGAATGAGCTGGAGTTGGGGGGGGAGGTTGGGGGTTTGGAGGGCTTGAGTCCAGGAGTTCCAGACTAGCCTGAGTGACAGAGGGAGGCCCTGTCTCTACAAAATAAAATTAGCCGGGCATGGTAGCGCACACATGGGGCCCCAGTTACTCTGGAGGCTAAGGCAGGAGGAACGCTTGAGCCCAAGAGGCAGAGGCTGTAGTGAGCTGAGATGGTGCCACTTAACTCCAGGCTGGACAACAGAGCGAGACCTCATTTCCAAAACAAAATAAAAAGAAGACAGAACAAGGCAAACTAAATAAACGGTCCCTTAAAGTCATCCGCCACATAATAAAGAGCCTAGGAAACTTATTTTACTACAGAGGCGGGGAGGAGAGTGGGAAGGAAAATGGGAGAGGGGAAGGAGGAAGGAAAGGCAGAAAGACAAGCAGGCCACGACTTTAAGAAAGAAGACTAGAGGGAAAGGGAAGAGGATGTGAATGGAGGAGGTGGGCAGCCTGCTTGGGGAAACTGCATGCTGGAACTCGTTCCTAAGCCCAGTTCGGAGGGAGGCGAAAGAGGCTTGCCCGCCACCTCCAGGTTGTCCCGAGGGGCTCTCTCTGCCAGGCCCCGAGCCTGGGCACCCTTCTCCGCGAGAGAGGGAAGGCTGGGGCCCAGGGGCGGGGACTGGGGCGGGGACAGCCCGGCCTGGGGCTCCCAGTTCGCTCAAGGCCCGGAGAACCCTGCAAACCTAGCTGGGCGGTGGGGCTGGAAACCAGCACTGATTCTCCTCCGGCTCCTCCGGCGGCTGCCCGGGAACCCGGCTCCACCTTCGCCGTTCCGGGAAAAGCGGACGTCAGCCACAGACCCCAGCCCCGCAGGAGGGGCGGCACGCGGGGAGGGGCTCACGACACCTTGGAGCCTCGCGCGGGCGGTGCTGATCCCGAGCCCGCCTCTCCGGAGCCCCACCCCTAGCCCCTGGCCAACCGGCGCGCGGAGCCGCAGCCCACCTCCTTCTCCTCCTCCTCGCCCCATCCCCTGGCTTCCGCCCCAGCCGCGCCGCCCCTCTACCTTGTGGGTCGCGCCCGCGCGATTGCATCAGAGCCGGCTGCCGGCGGCCCACGTGGAGCCGGGCGTGCGATCCGTGCTCCTAGGCACCCTTCGGGGTTGCCCACGCCCGCCTGCATTCCGGGCCCGGCCGGGTCCTGGATCCCCCGTTCTGCGCCAGCGCGCCCGGCCGCAGTCCCCGACCCCCCGCTTCCCGACACACAGCCCAGAGTCCCTAACGAGTTGGTACCAAGCACTCGCAGCCCCGCGCCCCGTACCCCACCGCGGCTCCAGGCGCCCCGCCCCTGGGCCTGGGCCGCTGCCGCTGGAGAACTGGGCCCGACACTCACCTGACGATCGAGTCTCGCATCGCGGGCGTGCGGCCGCCCGGGCTGCAGCTGCTCGGGGCCTGGCCATTCTGCAGCCGCCGCTGCCCGAGCAGGCCCTCCCCGCCACCGCTGCCCCCTCCGCCGCCGCCGCTGCTGGCGCGACAGGGCACATGGAGGCGGCGTGGCTGGCCCGGAGGCTGCAGCGGGCAGCGGAGCTGGCGTAAGACGAGCAGCAGGCGCTTGCCCATGGCGCGGCGCGGCGGGTCTTCCTGGGATGCGGAGCTGCGGCTGGCGACGGCGGCTGGGCGCGTGCCAGGCGAGCCGGCGGGCGGCGGGAAGGACCTGGCGCTTCCTCCTCGCCCGCAGGGGCCCCTAGGGGGCACTGCACCCGGCGGCGGTGACGTGCGGAGGGCGGGGGCCTGCGGGACGCCGGGCGGCTCGGAGGAGCGGCTGGGATGTCACCGGCCGGCTTCGGGCACCTTCGTTTGTTCAGCTGTACCAGACAGAGGGTGGGGCCCGGGGTGGGGCTCAGACCTTGCCCTGAGACTCTGCCTACCCCGTTTCGTCCTTTAAGGTGACCCTTGGTCCTCAGGGCGCCAAGTTTAGACGGGAGGGCTTAGATTTGCTCTGCTGGAGATGGCCTGCGGGTAAGAGGCTTTGTAACTTTAGGCAGGGCGCCTAATCTCGCTGAGCCTGCGCGCCTTCGTCAGTACAACAGAGAGAACAACACTCTTCTTAAAATTTTAAAAGAATTTTATATTCCTGATTGGTTCCAGGGACCCCTCCAGGGGACACACATCCACAGATGCTCAAGTCCTTGGTTAAAAAGAAAAAAGTATTTACATGCCGGAAGTGGTGGCTCACGCTTCTAATCCCAGCATTTTGGGAGGCTGAGGCGGTTGGATCACCTGAAGTCAGGAATTCAAGGCCAGCCTGGCCAACATGGTGAAACCCCGTCTCCACTAAAAATACAAAAATTAGCTGGGCGTGGTGGTGCACACCTGTATTCCTACCTACTTGAGAGGCTGAGGCAGGAGAATTGCTTGAACCTGGGAGGGAAAGGCTGCGGTGAGCTAAGATCTTGCCACTGCACTCCAACCTGGGCGACAGATCGAGACTCTGTCTCAAAAAACAAACAAACAAAAAGAAAGTAGGGCCTTTTTGTTGTTGTTGTTATATTTGTACAACTATTTTTATGACAGCATTGTTTGCAATAGCCAAAAGGTAGAAAGAAGCAAGTCAAGTGTTCATCAGTGGGTGAATGGGTAAATAAAATATGGTATATATAGACAAGAGAATATTAGCCAAAATGAAGGAAATTCTGACACATGCTACAATATGGATAAAGCTTGAGACACAAAAAGACAAATTCTGTGTGATTCCATTGATGCGAGGTTCCTAGAGCAGTCAAAGTCCTGGAGACAGAGGAATGGGGGATAGGAAGGAGCAGGAAGTAGCTGTTTAATGGATACAGAGTTTTTGTTTTGATAGTTGGAAAGAGTTCTGGAGATGGATGGTGGTGATGGCTGCACAACAATGTGAATGTACTTAATGTCACTGAACTATATGTATGTGTGTATATATATAGATATAGATATAGATATAGATATTTTTTTTTCCAGACAGAGTCTCACTCTGTCGCCAGGTGGCAGGCTGGAGTGCAGTGGTGAGATTTTGGCTCACTGCAACCTCAGCCTCCCGGGTTCAAGCAATTATCCTGCCTCAGCCTCCCGAGTAGCTGGGACTACAGGCACGCACCACCACACCGAGATAATTTTTGTATTTTAGTGGAGATGGGATTTCACGATGTTGGCCAGGATGGTCTCGATCTTTTGACCTCGCGATCCACCCACCTCGGCCTCCCAAAGTGCTGGGATTACAGGCGTGAACCACCGTGCCGCACGGGCTGAACTATATATTTTAAAATAGTTAGGATGGTAAATTTTAGCCGGACGCGGTGGCTCATGCTTGTAATCCCAGCACTTTGGGAGGCTGAGACGGGTGGATCACCTGAGGTCAGGAGTTTGAAACCAGCCTGGCCAACATGGTGAAACCCCATCTCTACTAAAAATACAAAAAATTAGCTGAGCATGGTGGCGGGTGCCTGTAATCCCATCTACCC